CCCCTCTCTTCTCTCTCCCCCCTCTCTTCTCTCTCACCCCTCTCTTCTCTCTCACCCCTCTCTTCTCTCTACCCCTTCTCTTCTCTCTCCCCCCTCTCTTCTCTCTTCCCCTCTCTCTTCTCCCTCCTCTCTCTCACCCCTCTCCTCTTTCTCACCGCCGTCTCTTCCCTTTCTCACTGCCCCTTCTTGCCCTCTCCTCTCTATCTCTCCCCCATTTCCCTCTCTCTACCCCGATCTTCTCCCCCACCCCCACAACCCCTCTCTTTCTCTCTCTCTCCCCTCTCACTCTACTCTCTCCCTCTCTCTTTCACACACTAAATCCTTTTTTTAAAAAAAACAGCACTATTGGAACGGGGTAAAACGTAATGTTAGCAGAGAAATCCTATTTTATAATTGTGGATTATAAAACGGGAGGGGTGAGATTTCAGTTTAATGGTGTAAAAGGCCGGGATAGGAAATCATTTTAAATTATTCTCTTGTTATCACGGGTTTGCATCTTGTTTTGTTAGGATGAAATCCGGGTGTTGATAACGCACAGAGGGGGTACATGGTTGATACCCCCGTCTCCACCCACCCCAGCCATGTGTAAGGTGATTTTTAAAGGTTTTTGCTAATGATAAAATATAGTTCAATACTTCTCGAGAGTAGCGAGAGGTCAGGAAAGGGTCGGGAGACTGAAAGATTGACTGACATGATAGGTTTAAGTAGGTATAAAGCCAGAGCGGTCAGACAGTAACTCTCCTCTCTCTCTCTGTCTCTCTCTCTCTCCCCTCTCTCACCCCTTCTATTTTTCTATCTGTCCTCCCCCCACCCCTTCTTTCTCTGTCTGTCTCTCCCCACCCCCACCCCACCCCCCCCCCTCTCTCTCTCTCTCTCTCCCCCCCGCCCCATCAGCTCAATAAAACTGTACTTCACTCCTTTTTTCTATTATAATAACAAATTACCATAACAGTTAATTTAGAGATTCCCTCTAAACGCGTGTTCTCTCTCGTACACATACACACACGATCTCTGTTTGAAATCGGTTGCAGTGAGGGTTTGGTTTAGTACTTAACACTAAATCCTTTATTATAAGAATGCATATCATGTAAACTCAGCAGTGAAAGGCGCTGTTAAAGTAATGTACATGTTTAGGTATTGTATTGTCGGGCTTTCCTTTGCGCCTGAACAGTATTTGAGAAATTGTTTTAACTTCAATCTGACACAAATTGGGATTTATTTTACCCCCTCTCCACGGGGTCTACTTACATAAAACCCGGTTTTCAAGTTGAGACTGAATTTAGCATTCTCACCTCACACTTCTAGCACTTTGGCACTCTAGCAATTTGGGGTGAAATTATGATTTAAGGCAAATGCCAGAATTTGCAGTCTGTCACACACACACACACACACACACACACTCACGCATATACGGACACATACACACACACAGGGTCTGAAAGGTGGAGTTAAATGCCTATTAATTTTCTTAAAGTTTTAGATGTTAAATCGTTCAACTTCCCCTTTATACACCTACACACAAACTCACAAAACACCCACACACACGCGGAGGAAAGCGCTTACAATGAATGCATTGCCTAAACGTGTACATGACATTAACACGTACACCTAAAATAAAACGAAAGAAATAATAATTTGGAGTCATGCAGTGTCAACTACTCACAGTCACCTCAAACAATCCTGTAGCTCAGTGGTTAGAGCACTCTCCTCGCAAGCGAGAGACTTGGGTTGGATTCCCGGCAGAGCGAAAAGTTGGGCAAGTTTCCTTTACTCCAAACGCCTCTATTTCCCCAGCAATAAGTAGGATTGGCGGATCGTTTTTCTGGGGATAATAATCCCTAAAAAAGACTGTTTGTGGGGCACCGCTGTGCGCAATTGGCTGCCGCGTTTCGCCCACAAATATACGGTCAATTCACTTTACAGTCTATTCTGTGAAGCGCTTTGAGATGTCGAGAAGACGTGAAAAAGCACTATATCAAATGCAAAGATTATTATTATTATTTATAAACACAGTGTAAAACGTTTCGCCCACAAAATATACAGTCTATTTACTTTATAGTATATTCTATGAAGCGCTTTAAGGCGTCTCAACGACGTGATAAGGCGCTATATCAAATGCAAGGATTATTATTTTTATTATTAAAACCAGACTGATATTAGCACATCCAGGATGGATAATAATAATAATCCCGCATTTGATACAGCACCTCATCACGTTGTTTCAAAGCTCTTCACATGATATACTGTCAAGTGAATAATTGACTGTATTTTGTGGGTGAAAGATATATAAAAGCAGCGGTTTGCTAAACCAGTAAAACGATCAGGATGTTTAAAGCTATCTCGGGGAATCCTTTAGAGAAAAAAACTTTAAAATCCATCTGTTTTAAAACAGGTCCATTTATTTTATTCAATTTATTTTGAAACCTACAAAATACACAGTCTTTACACTTCACAGTACCATCCTGTCAGGAGCTGTGAGATATCTTCTCATTGTGAGAGGCGTTGTGTCAAATACAGAGTTTGTTACTGTAATAGTAAATCTAATAATAATCCTTGTATTTGATATCGCACCATATTACGTCTCAAAACGCTTCACTGAATATACTGTGAAGTGTAGTGACTGTATTTTTGGGGTGAAACGTGGTAGCCAATTGCGCACAGCAGTGTCTCACAAACGATGTTGCATTGAGCGACCCAATTATTATTATTATTATTTTAAAATAATAATTTATTATTTTGATAATATCGACTACAGGTCCCTCTTTAGCCACACAGTCACTACACCGGGCAGCCAAGCCCGGGGGAGGGTTTGCGACATTTCCACTAAGTAATAAGGCGCAAGGTTTATTTTTATTTTTATTTATGATAAGGTGAAGAATTACTCCCCTTTTTACACACACAGCAGGTTTAACTAACAATATCTGGCCCAGAACACCCATAAGTGTAGATCACAACTATATGTATATATATACATATATTCGTTAAAAAATATGAATTAAAACAATCATAACATATGATAGCTGTGTGTATTTACTGTGTATTTCGCCCACAAAATACACAGTCCATCCACTTTACAGTATATTCTGTGAAGCGTTTTGAGACGTCTTGAAGACGTGATAAGACACTGTATCAAATAGAAGGATTATTATTATTTACTGAATCATTTCGCTGGTCACTGAGACAAGCAATGGCTAAATAATATTATTTAAAAACTGATGTAAAGAGACAGGGAGACGTTCGTTGTTCGAGATTTGTTTTTCTGTAAGCAGTTGGCAGGAAATTTATCGCAATCATCTCTGTCCTTATGTTCTTGTTTACACTGTTAAACCAGAATATGTGTTCCTATTAATTTATGGTTTCAAGTTGGGCTCATCTTGATCAGCTGCCTCTCTCTCTGTCTATCTCTCTTTCCCTCTCCTTCTGTTTCTCTCTCTCTCCGTGTCCCTTTCTCCCTCTATCCCTCTCTCGGCCCCTCACTTTCCTTGTCTCTTTCTTTCCCTGTGTCTTCCTCTCTACCTGTCCCTCTCACTATCCTTTTCTCCCCGTGCCCACCTCTCTTCAACCCTCTTTCTCTCTGTCTCTTTCACTGTCCCTTTTCTCTCTGTCCCCCTGACACTGCCCTTCCCTCTCTCCCCCTCTCTGCCTCTCTCTCTCTCTCTCTTCTACCCCTCTCTCTGTGTCTCCCTCTCTCTACCCCCTCTCTCAATCCCTGACTCTCTCTCCCCCTCTCTGTATCTATCCCCCCCCCCACCCTTTCTCTCTCTCTGGTGTGTGTATAAGTGAGCCCGAGAGAGTTACAATAAGAAATATCTCCTTGTCCAGAGCATGTGGCAGCTGTAAGGCAGTCAGTGTAACCAGGGTGAGAGGTTGATCACGGTGGTGGGGAGGGGGGAGAGAGGTTTGCTTCTGTGTGTAAAAGTCTGTGATTGTGTGAGGGTTAGTAAATGTCTGTGATTATGTGAGAGCTAGTGATAGGGATACAGTTGGAGGGAAGGAGAGATTAATGAGGCCCAAAAGGATATGGAGCAAAAAATAAATCATATATAAAGTAAAACAATCACAGAAACGAGGGGCTTTTTTTTTAGATTTTTACAATAAGAAAGACACAATTTGCGGGAGGGGCTGAATATGATGTGAAAATAAAATTTAAAAGCTTAACAGGAGAGAACGAAGCAGGTATAGAGAGTAGTTCTTGCCTGAGAGAATGAGTGTGTGAGAGAAGACGAGTAGACAGTAGTTCGTGAGTGAGAAAGTGAGTGAGTGGGTGTGAGAGGAGACGAATGAGTCTGTGAGAGTGAGTGTGACAGTGAGTGGGTGAGACAATGAGGAAGTGAATGTGAGAGGAGACAAGTGAGTGAGTGAGGGAATGAGGAAGTGAGTGAGGGAGGGAAGGGAATGAGTAAGTGAATTTGTGTGTGAGTGAGTGACAGAGGGAGGGAGGTAATGTGTGAGAGTGAGACTGAGTATGAGTGTAAGAGTGAGTGTGTGTGTGAGTGAGTAAGTGAGATTGTGAGTGGGAGGGCGGGTGGGTGAGGGAGGGAGTGTGTGACAGAATGTGTGAGTGAGGGAATGTGGAAATGAGTTAGTGAGAATGAGTGAAGGAGGGAAAGAGTGACAGAGTGAGTGAATGACAGAATGAGTGAGTGACACAGTGAGATAGTGAGTGAGTGACATAGTGAGGTAGTGAGTGAGTGACAAAGTGAGGCAGTGAGGTTATGAGAGAGTGAGTGTGTGAATGAGGTAGTGAGTGTGTGAATGAGGTAGTGAGTATGTTAGTGAGGAAGTGAGTTGAGAGGAGACAAGCGAGTGAAGTAGTGAGTGTATGAGTGAGTGTGGGAGGTTAGGGCTATCTCCCTGATGCTGTGCTTGCCTGGTTGCCTTACAGATGCCAAGGGGATGATCAGGGAGATAGTGACAGATTGACAGAGTGACTGAGTGAAGCAGTAAGGTAGTGAATGAGACGTTTGGGCTATCTCCTTGATGCTGTTGTTGCCTTGCAGACGCCAAGGGGACAATCAGGGAGATAGTGCTGCCTCGAGGCTTGGACCTGGACCGGCCCAAGCGGACTCGCACCTCCTTCACAGCCGAGCAGCTATACCGCCTGGAGCTGGAGTTTCAGCGCTGCCAGTATGTGGTGGGCAGAGAGCGGACAGAGCTATCCAGACAGCTCAGCTTGTCCGAGACACAGGTACACACAGCTCAACCTGTCCCAGACACAGGTACACACACAGACAGCTTGCTTCAGGCATGGGTAGCCTGAGCAGAGATTCAAATACGTTTTTGGCCTAATGTCAACCTGTAGGGTAGTGGTTAGAGAACTCACCTCACAAGCGAGAGGACCTGGGCTTGATTTCTGGGCAGGGCGAAAGTCTCTGTTTACTTTGTAGTAAATAGGAACCTGGTTGTTAGTCGATTGGCAGATCACTTTCCAGGGTAACAGTCCCTCCCAAAAAAAATGTGGTCACTCAATTCATGACTGTTTTTGGGACACTGCTGTGCACAATTGGCTATCGGGTTTCACACACAAAATACACAGTCACTGTGCTTTACAATATCTTCTGTGAAGCCCATTGAGACGTCTCAACAACATGATAAGGCACTATATCAAATGCAAGGTATTATAATAATATACAGTAAACACCTGATAACTCAACCCTGGCTAAACTTGTCACTACTACTTAAGTCATCATGCTCATCGGCAGCAATTGGAAGACCAGTCACTGGGGGCAGGGAGTCATCCCACTCAGCTCCTATTAACCCTGCAAACCGAAGCACTAACAGGTAGGGTGGTCCTAGTTGGTCAAGTAGCAAAAAGCTTGCTGGACAGCAACATCAATGCAAGCTATGCGATTTTAGCTGGTTAGACTCCAACGGTTATCACAATGCACTTTCTGGGGTCCCCAAGCCTTGGCACTTGCCAACCTGCGCCTAGTACTCTCCAGAATTAGATAAGCAGGAAGCATCCCTTTAGGGAGAAAGTGCACGTTCCATTCTAACAATCTGTCTCTGGGATTTCCATGTGCTGGTTTCACATGAAATTCTCAGTTTGATTTGGCGACTCTTACGCATGGTGATGGGTTTCCAAATGAGTCCAACTAGGACCACCCTACCTGTTAGGGCTTTGGTTTGCAGGGTTAACAGGAGCTGAGTGGGAGGAGTTCCTGCCTCAGTGACTGGTCTGCCCTTCCAAGTCCTGCCAATGAGCCAGGCTGTGCTGTGCTGTCATCAGCAGTGCCCTGGAATACTGCGGACCGCCTGGCTCAGGAACCGAGCTGGACACCAGAGGGCTGACATTTATGACATTCCGTTGCCAGGCATGTCACCTTGGAGCCAGTTAAGCTCCAAGGAGACCCCACTTACTGCCTGTCTGAGATTTTGAGAGCTTTACTCTGTGTCTAATCTGTCTCTAATCCACAACGTTACTGACTTGGGAAGTATGGACGTTCTCCCGATATGAAAGATGCTTTACAAATGTAATTTTGTTGTTGTTGTCCATAACCCATACTGTCACTGACCTGGGAGTGTGGGCTGACAGTGACTGACAATTGCTCATTCACCCATTTCCATTTGCGCACAGGAATGTATTGTGAGGGGTACATTCCTGTGCGCAAAATCAGCTGCTGCTTTTTGTTTACAAAATACAGTCATTGCATGTGATAGTAATTACTGTGATGGAGTCTGAAATGTTGCGACGTGAGGTGGTAGTATTGAAGGCCTCACTTATTTCCTCCTGTAGGAAGTGCACAGAGCTGGAAAATGAGTGTGACACTGAGCGTGGTTCCAGGTGTTGAGATGCGGCAGAGTGTCACAGAGGAGCGGGCTGTGGACGGTTTCCATCAGTCACATCATATGATTGTGCAGGTTTCAGAGACATCAGTGTGGGGCTTGGGAATCAGTAATAAGGGGCAATGCCACAGGCTATTGTGTCAGGGATCTGTATGTAAATTTTGGCTCAGTTTGGCACTCTCACCTCTGAGTCAGGTTCAAGCCCCACATTGAGAATTTGATCTCAGTTCAGCATGATGCTCCAGTGCAGTATTGGGGAGAGAGAGCGCCGCATTGTCTGAGATGTTGTTCTTCAGATGAGACATTAACCCAAAGTACCATCTGTGCCTGGTCAGGTGGCAGAACTCAAAAAGACAAGGGAGTTTTTCTCTCAGTGTCCAAGCTGACAATTCCCCCAGTTAAAAATTGGTCACTCATTTCATGTGGGATGTTGCTGTGTGCAAATTGACTGCCACATTTGCCCTTAAAATACACCATCATTGCACTTTACAGTGAATCCTGTGAGGCGCTTTGAGAAATCGCAATGTGAACGGTGTGATATTAAATGTCAGGATTATTAATGTTGGTAGTGCCACAATAGCTAAGTCTTCAAAACAGTCAGAGGATGGATGGTGAGAGATTATTCCCAGTGCTCAGAGCAATACTAAACCAACTGTGGATAGTGAACTGAAAGAGTTCAGGAGAAGTTCAGAGAAAAGTTCCTCAAACTCAGAGCTGTGAGGGGTGAAATGTTTGTCATATGCAAGTGAGACTGAGCTGGAACACTATCTAAAAGTGAAATGGATAAATATTTGAAGAATATCAAAGGGTAAAAGGAAAAGAGCAGAGAATGGGATTAGAGTAGAGAAATCCAGTGGGAGAGCAAGCACCAGCACAGACACGATGGGGAGAGGAGAGCAGGGAATGGAATTAGAGTAGAGAGCTCCAGTGGAGAGCGAGCACTAGCACAGACACGATGGGGAGAGCAGGGAATGGGATTAGAGTAGAGAGCTCCAGTGAGGGAGCGCGCACCAGCACAGACACGATGGGGAGAGCAGGGAATGGGATTAGAGTAGAGAGCTCCAGTGAGGGAGGGAGCACCAGCACAGACACGATGGGGAGAGCAGGGAATGGGATTAGAGTAGAGAGCTCCAGTGGGGGAGCGAGCACCAGCACAGACACGATGAGCCGATGATTTTATTATTCTAATAATAGATAAAATCTAAAACCGTATTGTCTTAAATCGTAAAATTCTGGAAAACTATCTGACCTTGGTTCCTTTTAAAGAAAAAAATAATTTGTCGAATTGTGCTCTGCCACTGTCAAGCACTCAGGGATGGTACCCTGCGTGAGGGGCACTGTGCACTGTGTAAATGCAAGTTATTGTAATTCTCAACACAGAGAGGAGCTCTCCTCACTTATCTCCGCCTTAACATGAAGCAGTGTTGAGCCGGGCAGAGGTTGATGTGAGGAATCTCTGGAAGCAGGGGTGAGGGGTCTCGTGGCTATGGTAAAGAGCAGGAGCTGTTTGTTCAGAGCTAACCTCCTCCCCACCCCCTCTCCTCCACCATCGCTTGGCTTTTAACTGACGTTACATTGTCACCCGAGGCAGTGAAGACACAGGCAGGAATCCGTGCGTTCAGCTCAGCTCTTGGAACCTTCCAGGGATGTCACGCTCTCTTTAGCGGACGTATTTGACCTTTTACCAGCAAGAATGTGAGCTGCAGGATGGTTGCTGGCTCCTAATTCCTGTCAGGCTGGGGGCTGGGCAGCACAGTGAGGAGGTTATTATTCAGAAGGACAGGGAATGGGAGGAGGGAATAGGAGCGAGCCCAGCGAGCCAACCTGTGGACTTATCTTCAGGTTTTTGTTGGGAGTTGGTTTGTCCGGGTCCAACCCTTACCCATCACCATGACTGAACAAATTTGATACCCAAGTGAGGCGAAACCTTAGGCAAGTTTCCTTATTCCACACATCTCTGTTTACCTAGCAATAAGTAGGAACACAGTTGCTAGTCAATTGGAGGATCACTTTCTGGATGTAATAATCCCTTTAAAATTGATAATAATAATTTGGTCACTCAGTCCACAACTGTTTGTGTGACATTAGCTGTCGCATTTCACCCACAAACTACAGTCATTACACTTTACAGTATATCCTGTGAAGTGCTTTGAGATGACTCAACAACGTGATAAGGCACTACATCAAATGCATGAATTGTTCTTATCATAAATTCAGATTGTCACTGTAGAAGGAAGATATCCTAAATGGTAAATATAAAGGAGGAGTGGGACTGAACGGCATGATGTCTGATTGCCCTCCTGTGTTGTGGCATTTTGTTCAAGGCTCTGTCTACACTGCAGGGCCTGGTAGAGGTGGGCACAGTGGAGGGATTTGAGAGTGAGAGAAAGAGAGAGATATCGGGATAGAGCAGGACTAGAGGATTAAATGGACCTTTTGCTCTATGTAGGTGTACGTGATTGCATTTAGATGGACATGATGGCGTGTAGATATATGTGTAGGTATATGTCAGCCTGTGTAGATGTATGTGACGTCTGTAGGTGTACATGAAGTGTAGGTGACATGTATAGATGTATGTAATGGTTATAGTGTATGTGACGTGTGTAGGTAATGTGTGTAGATGTAGATGATGTGTGTAGATGGCATGTGTAGGTGTGTATGTGTCATGTGTAGATGGCGTGTGTAGCTGTGTGTGTGACTTGTGTTGATGATGTGTGTAGGTATGTGTGCTGTGTGTAGATGGCGTGAGTAGGTGTAAGTTAGGTGTGTAGATGACATATGTAGGTGTGTGTGCTGTGTGTAGGTGTGTGCTATGTGTAGATGTGTGTAGGTGCGCGCGACGTGTGTAGGTGCGAGCGACGTGTGTAGGTGCGTGCGACGTGTGTAGGAGTAGGTGACGATGCCTGAGCTGCGGCACTGTGACACAGATTGTGTATTGTGGTGTGGTTGACAGTATCTATGTATAGTTCAGTTCAGACTAACCTGCTATAGGACAGGTATGTTGGTATAGTTCACAGTGTCTCTGTATAGGTGACGGTTCCTTGGTACAGCTGTGTAATAGACATTACCTTGTCACTCTCTAGGTAATGTGACAGAATCTTGGCACACTTGATGGTATCTTGGTGCAGTTAGTGATGTTTTGTGTGGTTGGTAGTTGGTATAGCTGATGGTTGGTGTAGTTGGTGATGTCTTGGTGCATTCAACAGTTTCTGCATATCATTGCTGCCGTATTTATTGACAATGCTTTGTTAAGTTGACGATGTCTATAATAATCTTTGCATTTAATAAAGTGTCTTTGAGTTGTTCTCCCAATGTGAAAAGCGCTATACAAATGTAATGTTGTTGTTGTCTCAAAGAACTTTACAAGATTTACTGTAAAATGCAACTTTACAGTTAATGGTAATTACAGGTGGTTAATGGTGCCCTGGTTAATGGTATCCTGGTGGAGTTAGCGATTTCTTAGTATAGTTGATGCCATCTAGCTGGACAACAACAACAATATATAACAACAAATTGCATTTATATAGCGCCTTTTACACTGGGAGGAATGCTAAGATGCTGGACAATCAAGGATCAAGGGTTTGCATCCGAGCTGTGGGCTGGAGTCAAGAGGGGTGGAGGGCAAGTGGGTGTAGCATGGGAAGATGACAGAAGGCACAGTTAAACTTGAAGGTCTTGAGACGGGCCTTCAAGGAGGCAAGAGAGGGCGCAAGAGGGAGGAAATCTGTAATGGATTTCCACAGGGTGGGACCAGCGAGGCTGAAGCTGCAATAATGGATATCACTATCTGACAGTAGGTAACTGATCTCCAGGGCACTGCTTACAAAAGGCCAGCCAGCCTGGCTTATCAGTAGGACTTGCACACCAGTTACTGCGGCAGAGACTCTTCTCACTTCGCTCCTGTTAACCCTGCAAGCACAAGCCCTAAAGTGCAGAGTGGTCCTAGCTGGATAAGAGTGGGAAAAGCTTGCCAGACAGTGATATCAATGGCAAGCTATGTGGTTTTAGCTGGTTAGACTCCACCAGTTACCACAAGGCACATTCTGGTGTCCCAAAGCCTTGGCTCTTGCCAACCTGTACTTTCTGGAATTAGATAAGCAGGATGCATCCCTCCAGGGAGAGAGTACACATTTCATTCCTATAATCTATCTCTGGAATTTCCATGTGTATGGATGCATGGAAATGTTAGTTTGGTTTGAATACTCTTAAACACGATGATGGGTTTCCGTGTGTGCCAGACACCCAGCTGATCAAAAGCAGAGACTGATCTCAGCCAGAGTGGAGACAGTTCTTTGTAAGACATTGATGCGCACAAATAATGTGTCAGCTCAGCTCAGCTGGTAGCACTCTCGTTTCTAAGTCAGAGGCCGTAGGATCAAGCCTCACGTTGGGACTTGTACTCACATAATCTCGGGGAATGGGGGTTTGTACTGCAGAGGTGCCATCCTTCAGATGAAATGTTAAACTCAGATTCTGTCTGCCTGTTGAGGACATTGCCAGCACTATTGGTCATCCTCCCAATGTGAAAGGTACTCCATGAATGTAATTTGTTGTTGTTGACATTAAAGATCCCGCAGTGCTGTTGAAAAAGAAAAGGGAAATTCTCTCTCCGAGTGTTCTGGCCGACAATCCCCCAGTTAAAATCGGTCAGCCTCTCGCCCATCTCTAGGAACTGGCTTGCTCTGGTTCATCCTGCATCTCCGTCCGTGTGTAAGTCTCGAAGGCAGTGCGCACACCGTAGCCAACCGAGAGTTCATGGAGGTTGCCAATCAGTGGCCTGACAAAGCAGTGAGCTGCTGTCTGTGCCTGTTCATGCGCACATTAAAGATCCTGAGGCACGATTCAAAAAGAGAAGGTAGTTTCTCTCTCCCGGTGTCCTGGCCAACAATCCCCCAAATAAAATTAGTAACTCACTCCATGGCTGTTTGTGGGACACTGCTGTCTCATTTTGTCCACAAAATATACAGTCACTACACTTTACAGCCAATACTTGAAATGCTTTGAAACACCTCAATGACGTTATATGGTGCTCTATACCTGCTGGCCCACCACCTGCTGCCTTGACGCCCTCCCCACCAACTTGCTAGTCACCCAGCTCCCCCTCCTCTGCCCACTACTGGCTGTCGTCATCAACTAGTCCCTCTGCTCCGGATCAGTCCCTGCCCCCCTCAAAACTGCTGTCATCAACACCCTCCTCAAGAAACCTTCCCTCAAACACCAGCCATTACTGCCCTATCTCTAATCTGTCTTTCCTCGCAAAAGTTCTAGAACGCGTTGTTGCCAATCAACTCCGCGCTCACCTCTCCTCCCACTCCCTCTTCAAACCCCTCCAGTCCGGTTTCCGCCCACAGTACAGAGACTGCGCTTGTGAAAGTCACAAACGACATCCTCTCTATTTGTGACCAGGGCTCCCTCTGCCTCCTTGCCCTCCTGGACCTCTCCGGGGCGTTCAACACAGTTGATCACACCATCCTCCTCCACCGCCTTTCTTCCGTCATCCACCTCAGTGGGACCGCACTTGCCTGATTCGAGTCCTACCTCACAAACCGCCAGCAGTATATCTGTACAAACGGCTTCTCCTCCCGCTCTCACCCGGTTACCTGCGGGGTACCCCAAGGATCCATTCTTGGCCCCCTCCTCTTTCTGATCTACATGCTCCCTCTTGGGGATGTCATCTGCAGACATGGGGTACATTTCCACATGTATGCGGACGACACCCAACTCTATTTTTCTGCCTCTCTTTGTGACCCCCAGTCCCTTGATGTTCTGTCAGCCTGCCTCTCAGACCTCAGGAGCTGGATGAGCACAAACTTCCTTCAGCTGAACGTTGATAATAATAATCCTTGCATTTGATAAGATGGAAGCCATACTCTTTGGCTCTCGTCAACGTCTAAAATCTCATGGCTCTCACCTACTCCACCTACCCGACCTCTCCCTAAAACTCTCTGAACTCGTATGCAACCTAGGCGTCAGGTTCGACCCCCAATTATCCTTCCTCCCCTATATCCAGTCCCTCACCAGCATCGCCTTCTTCCACCTCCGATGCATCGCCCGCCTCCGCCAATACGTCACTCCAAAAGCCACTGAAACCCTAGTCCATGCCTTTGTCACCTCTTGGCTGGACTATTCTAACGTCCTCCTCGCCGGTCTCCCCTCCACTACCATCCATAAAATCCAGATCATTCAAAACTCTGCCGCTCACATTCTCACCCGCACCAATCTCCGCTCTCCGATTACCCCAGTCCTTGCCAGACTGCACTGGCTGCCTGTCCCAGAGAGGATCGACTTCAAGATCCTCACCCTTGTACTCAAATCCCTCCACTCCTCTGCACCCCCCTACCTCTCTGACCTCTCTCCTCAAAACAGTACCCATTGTTTTCGTTCCTCCGGGTCTGGCCTCCTCCTCGACCCCCGAGTCCTCCGCTCCGCCCTCGGCGGCCGTGCTTTCAGCCACTGTGCCCCGAGGCTTTGGAATTCCCATCCTCACTCCCTTCAACTCGCCCCCTCTCTTCCTATTTTCAGATCTCTGCTGAAGACCTTTCTTTTCGACCGCGCCTTTGGTCACCTTCCTCCCCCTCCCCCTGGCTCGGCCCCGGGATCCGTTGCAGTGAAGCGCTCTGAGACGCCGTCAGGGGTGGAGGGCGCCATATAAATCCAAGTTGTTGTTGTTGTTTAATGCAAGAATTATTATCACAGTTTTATTAATTTCTTCCCCAGGTTAAAGTTTGGTTCCAGAACAGACGGACGAAGCAGAAGAAGGACCAGAGTAAAGACTGTGAGCAGGGCTCGCCCGGCTCCTCCGAGTCTGTGGCCACGTGTAACATCCTGCGTTTGCTGGAGCAGGGCCGTCTGCTGGCCCCCCCAGCCCCCAGCCTCCTGCCCCTGGCTCCTAACGCCCTGGGCTCCGCACAGGGCAACGGATCGAGCCTGGTCAGCTCCACCACCCCCTCACCCAGGCTGAGCAGCACCCCACCTGGACAGCACCCGTTCAGCCTGCCTGCACCCACTCTGGGCTGTCCATCCCCCGGCCCCCACCTGCCGGCAGCTCTCTGCTTTGCTGGGCCAGTGATGGGCAACCCCCATGAACTCTCGGCCGGCTACAGTGTGGGAATGTCTGCCTTCGAGCCTTACACACGGACGGAGAGGCAGGACGAGGCAGTGGTGGAGCGAGCCAGTTCCTAGAGACAGGAGTGATGCTGAACTGATGTCAAGGACAAAGCTTCCCACGGAGACATTTTTGCTCACTCCCCTCCCCCACCGCAGTCGGGGAGCTCAGGGAGTGGAGGGGGACAGCGTTGACCTCCTCCCATTAGATGGAGGGAACCAGATTTCATGTTGCACACCCTCCACTGACACTGTCTCACCACAGGGGGCGGCGTGGCTCTCTCACACCCACCACAGGGGTTTGTGCCGACAGCTGTAGCAGCCATGTTGGGAATGGCGTGGGTTTGCCTGATGGGTGGCATCTCTGTTATTTTTCTGGTGACGCTTTCCTCTCCCAACACCACTCCCCTGCACTCTTACCCACCACCCCGCCCTCCCGCCCCGCTCCACCCCCTGGTTTCTGGTGCTAATACACTCACAATATTGTAAATGACTCAGTCACCCATCCACCAATCCCCCTGTGTCTGTCTCACACCATCTCTTGCCTCCTCATATCAAATGCCACCAGCGTGTTCTCTCTCCCCATCCCCTGCCCCTCCCCTGCTTCCTGTTGCAGCTGTACATTTCCTGCAAACTTTCAATGTCTTAAAAGCGCATTAACCTCACAAGAAAGTGTTTGGGACGTTTTCTGTTGGGGTGGTGGGGCGCGGTTACGTTCACTGCCAGGCAACTCAGTGACACGAGGTGGGGTAGAGGGGGGGGGTCTGCAGCCCCTTTAATTGACTGGCTGGCTCCTGTGATGAGCTTTGACAGTGCCCACCACCCCTATCGACCTATATGCCCTGACACTTGTGCTGGCTACTCACTGGGATGTAAAGGGTTAAAAACGACATGAAGTATTTTCAGTGACAAACTATAGAGAAGCAAATGTATCAGCTTCAGCCCAGCGCCAGTCACTTTCCTCCCCCCGCCCCCCACCCCAGGTCTACCCCCAGCCTTCCCCCAGCCACACACACATACACCGCACACACGCACAAACACACACAGAATGGTGGCAGATTCATCTACAGTTTATTAAATTATAAATTATTCAAAGAGATTTGATGTATTATTTTTGGTCCAGCAAATAGTTCTCCATCTGAGGGAGAGGGGAACAGAAGGGTGTAGCAGAGGGAATAGAGGGGTGTAGAAGAGAGTTAAATAGAGAGGTATAAGAGACAGGAATAGAAGGGTTTAGGAGAGTGGAATTTTTTTTGGTCACCCGGGTGTCTAACACATGTGGAAACCCATCCAAATCAAACAGAATTCCAAGGATTATGGCACAGTAGTAGCACTCTTGCCTCTGAGTCAGCAATTTGTGGGTTCAAACCCCATGACTTGGAATCATGTAGTCTAAGCTGACACTCCACTGTATTTCTGGGGGTTGTTGCATTGTATCGTGGAGTCCTGTAGCTCAGTGGTTAGAGCATTCGCTTTGCAAGCGAGAGACCTGAGTTCAATTCCAGGCAGAGGGCGAAACCTTGGGCAAGTTTCCTTACTCCACACGCCTCATAATAATCCCTACAAAAACAATAATAAATTGGTCATTTTCAATCTACGACTGTTTGTGGGACATTGCTGCGCGCAATTGGCTGCTGCGTTCGCCCACAAATATACAGTCTATTCACTTTACAGTGTGTTCTGTGAAGCGCTTTGGGACGTCCTTCCGACATGAAAAGCGCTATATCAAATGCAAGGATTATTATTATTATTGGCGGAGGTGCCGTCCTTTGGATGAGATGTTAAACCGAGGTCCCGTCTGCCTGTTCAGGTGGACGTTAAAGATCCCATGGCACTATTCAAAAAAAGAATGGTGTTTCTATCTCCCAGTGAACTGCCCAACAATCCCCCAAATACAATTGGTCACTCATTCCATGATTATTGTGGGACACTGCTGTGCACAACTGGCTGCCGCATTTTGTCCACAGAATAGAGTCACGATACTTTACAGTCTATTCTGTGAAGCGCTTTTAGACGTCGAGAAGACGTGAAGTGCTATATCAAATGCAAGGATTATTATTATAGGAGAGGGGAATAGAGCGTTGTGGGAGAGGGGAATAGGAGGGGTGTAAGAAAGGGCAATAGAGGGGTCCAAGAAAGGGCAATAGAAGAGCGCAGGTGAGGGAAATAGAGGGGTGTAGGAGAGGGGAATCGAGCGGCTTAGTAGAGGGGAATAGAGAAGTATAAGAGAGGAATAGATCTTATCACATGATTGAAGTGCACCAATATGACGTGTGGTGTCTGCTACCTGGCTATTTCTACACTAACCACGTGCATTCCAATAAGATAGTGCCTCAGAGGGCTTTGCAGTGACTGAGCAGGGGAGGGGGTGGTAACCATAGGAGCAGTGAGGTTTTGAATTGGATTTAAAGAGGGGAAGATGGAGGGGTGGAGGGAGTTCCAGAGGTTAGAGTTGTAGTGTCTGAAGACTTGGCCAGTGATGGTGGTGGAGAGAGCACACACCGCAGAGTGAATGGAAAGGGTGAGCATAGGAGTGGGGTAGGAAATGAGGGACATGGGGATAGGTTGAGGAGTGAATGAAGGGATTTCTAGATTGATTCCTTCATATCTCACCCGAAGGATGGTGTCTCCAACAGTGGAGCGCTCCCCCAACTGGAGCATCAGCCTGGACTGTGAGCTCAATGTCCCTGATGTGGGGGCTCAAACCAAGGACCTCAAGCCGAGTGGCTGAGATGGTAATGGTTCCCATTGTGTTTCTGCTCTGCCATCAACTTCCACCATTGGCTCACTCAAGCCAGGGATTGACCGGCTGAGACCTTATGCCTCTGACTGGCTCAGAGTGAGTCTGATGGACTGCATCCAATCACAGATCGGAGAAACAAGGTTTGTCAGGGTCAGGTCCCAGTAGTGACCTTGTTACTCTCTGACCCAATTTTGTGCACGACTTTGGCAGAGGTTGAGGGAGAGGAGTGAGGAGGAATTGGGGGTGGGGGAGGCGGATTAAGTGAGGGGAGGGGAGGAGGAGGGGCGTGAGGGGGAGGCAAGGAGGAGGCGTGCAAGGAGAAAGGGCGAGTGGGAGAGGGGAATGAGGAAGAGAGGGGGCACGGAGGAGTGGGAGTGAGGCGGAGGTGGGGCAAGGTGGGGTGAGGAGGAGGGGAGCGAGGGCGGCGAGGAGGAGGGGGGGACAGGGTGTGCAAGGGGAGCGAGGAAGATGATTTTAGGGCCTGAAAATTAAACTTGATTATCCTTTCTGTAGAGAAATGCCAGAAGTAATGAGAAGCTGCCCCTCGCTGCAGGGTTGATACCTACCTGGCTGTGTGGGGTGTGAGCCTGGAGGTGGCTGGTATATAGCCACCCTCTGTCCCCCGCATCTTCACCATCTCAGCTACAATCCCAGCTGGTTAGTCAAACATAACCTTGTGAATCTGTGCTTCATTGCCTGTTCCCGCCCCACCCATCTGCCACCCGCTCCTCACCACACTGAGAGCTTCCAGCACAAACTCCCCCAGCTCCTTCCACATGAGCACAGTTTCCTGCAGGAGAATCCCTGACTGACATCCCCATTCTGTTTTTATTTTAGATTTCCAGCATCTGCAGTATTTTGCCTTTCACTTTACAATATGTTTTCTGAACCACTTTGAGATATCTCAATGACGTGATAAGGCACTAATTCAACAACAACAACAACAAGATTCCATTTATAGAGCGCCTTTCACGTCGGGAGGACATCCCAAGGCGCTGGACAGTTGGGTCAGGACCCGAGAAGGGGGGAAATGGTCAGGGTGAGGGGAGGGAAGGGAGGGAGCGAGGAGGCGGCAAATGGTCAGAGTGAGGGGTGGGAAGGGAGGGGGCGAGGAGGGGGTAGAGAGTCGAGAGGGGAGCTGAAGGCACGGTCAAAGAGAAAGGTCTTGAGACCGGCCTTGAAGGAGGAAAGGGAGTAGGCGGCGAAGGCACTGGGGGATGGAGTTCCAGACCCCAGGGGCTGAGAGGCTGAAGGCCCGCCCACCGATGGTAGGGCGGTTGGGGCGGGGGATGTGGAGCAGACCGGAGCCAGAGGAACGGAGAATACGGGCAGGTAGGTAGGGGGATAGTAGGTCGGAGAGGTAGGAGGGAGCGAGGCCGTGAATGGCCTTGTAGGTGAGGATGAGGATCTTGAATTCGATCCTCTGGGGGATGGGGAGCCAGTGGAGGCGAGCGAGGGTGGGAGTGATGTGGTCGCGAAGCCTGGTGCGGGACAGTACACGAGCTGCAGAGTTCTGAATGACCTGCAGCTTGTGGAGGGAGGTGCCGGGAAGGCCGGCGAGGAGAGAGTTCCCATAGTCCAGCCTTGAGGTGATAAAGGCGTGGACCAGGGTTTCAGCAGCGTGAGGGGTGAGGTAGTGCCTTAGTCTGGCGATGTTTCGGAGGTGATGGAAGGCGGTGCCAGTTGTGGCGCGGATATGAGGAAGAAAGGACAACTCAGGGTCCAACAGAACCCCAAGGTTCCTGATGGCTTTGAGAGGTGGAGAGTGCAGCCTTGGATGCTGATGCTGTCAGCGCCTGAGGTGCGGAGGAGCTGACGTGAGCCAATCAGGAGGGCCTCAGTTTTGCGCACGTTGAGCTGAAGAAAGTTGTCTTTCGTCCAGGACTCGATGTCGGACAGGCAGCTGTCAGGACATCGGTGGTCGTGGAGTTGAGGGTAGAGGAGGAAAGGTAGAGTTGGGTGTCATCCGCATACATGTGGAAGTTAACCCCATGTCTGCGGATGATGTCACCAGGGGGAGCATATAGAGGGTGAAGAGGAGGGGACCGAGGACAGAGCCCTGAGGGACACCGCACGAGACAGTGCGGGGGTGGAGGAAAAGCCGTTTGTGGAAACAAAGTGAAGACGGTGGGAGAGGTACGACCTAAACCACTCAAGGACAGGGCCTTGAAGGTTGAGGTGGGAGGACAAGCGGTGGAGGAGGATAGAGTGGTCGACCGTATCGAATGCTGCCGATAGGTCGAGGAGGACGAGGAGGCAGAGGGAGCCCTGGTCACAGATGGTCAGGATGTCATTGGTGACCTTGACCAGGGCAGTTTCTGTGCTATGGGCAGCA